CCAGTTCTCTCTGAGCTGCCTTACCCACATGTTTGAGTCTTTCCTTTTTTTTTCTAAACCATCCTGTGCTTGGCATTTTTAACCCTAATTATTCCCTTCTTGGGAAAGTATTCTGAACTTGCTATTTATAGGGGTTTTTTTCATAAATGAGTTTTATAAACATTTCACATTAATTAATTATTTGATACTTTAATTTTTGTGAGTGATGAGTTACCCTTGCCCTTACTATACAGTGGCAACACATACATAAATTTCTTCCCATCGTAAGACCTTGTTACAGGCATATTGCTCTTCACTGTAGAAATAAGCTATAACTTTCTTTTAGAACAATGTTTCACTTATGTCACGTAACAGCAAGCACTGGAAGAATGTACCAAACCCAAGCCACTGCAATATATTTAATTAAACTACCCAATCAAGCAGTTTAAAATTTTTTCTAGTAAAAAATCAATTCTGTATACATTTTGTGGACTTTGTTCAGGAGGATTAGTGTGCCAATGTACATTTAGGAGGCATATAAAAAGCATAATATATTACAGCTTCATTAGCCTAACGAAAGCATTAGAATATCATGATTTGTTAAGATTAAGATCAAAGGAACAAATCAACAGGTTCAAGTATTCAGCTCTGCATATTGCTGTTTCAGGTAACCAAACTGAACTACGAGACTGGCATTAAAAGGAATTACCTTCTGGTAGTCTTGCTGTGAAAGAGGATTCTAGTTCTAACACATCTGTTTTAATCTAAAACCCAGAGTTAGGTTCTTGTACTGATTTAAGTCATGAGGTGAAAGATTTCTGTAGCCTGCTTGTGTCTTCCTTCTAAGCATTCCTTCTGGTTTTAGTTCTTAGCAAAATAAATCATACTGTGTGCCTCCCCTGTGGCTCTTGCTGACAAACAGCAGCTTCCCTTCCCAACATCTATTGCCTGTTTCCCTGTGTCACCTCAGTCTTGTCTGCCACAATAACCCAGAGCCTGTCTATCATTTCCTAGGGAGAACCTGCTTAGGCCGTCTGTAGAACAGCTTTGAAATAAAAACACTTTTTAATACAAGAAAATCTATCTCTCAATCAATGAGATTGAGTATTAGCTTTGGGGAACTTTTTTAGAATACTGTACAAATACGAATTTCTATGTACACAAAGGCATGTATATGCCCTTATTCGTAAAAGCATTAGTGAAAGAAAAAAAATAAACAACTAAATGCATCTCTTTAAAAGCAAAGATGAAAAAAAAGAGTGTTTAGCTTTATTCTTCAGGAATTCTAACTAATGCAACTCTTGTTTTCTAGATGGCATTGGAACAGTTTTGATGACTTTAAGAATTGTAGAATATTAGCAAGCAGTCACCTATATGGAAAAAAAATTAGATGTAGGCAGAAATATCCATCCCCAAATATTCTTTTATTTTGCACAATGAATGGGATTAACTGCACAGGTCATAAGTGCTTCCAAAAAATGAAATATGTGAAGGCCTGTGTTAGGAAAGCATATCTTTAAACTTCTACCTGAGGTAATGGATAAAAGGCCCGTAATTAGTACAATTTATCCTATTCATCTGTTATAAATTGCTTGAGGCATTGTGTTTTTTCATGAAACCTTTGCATTCCAGAGAGTCAGGGATTCTTTAAATCTTTCTGACTTTGTTGCAAAGATATGGGGAACCTCTAAAATCCCAGCTCTTTCTTCATTCTTGGGGAAAAAGAATAATAAAAAATTAAGAGTTCTTATAGCAACTAAATAAAGTGTTCTTAAACTCAAAACCTAAGACCACGTTAATTAACTGATTTGCTCGTGTGATACTAGCAGAACAGAAAGAACATGACCTAATCATATGCAAATATGTTATAGCAATGAAACTTCAGCTAATCTCATGTTTTGGGGGTTTTTTATGTACAGCACTGTATCTGCATTTTATGAATACCTAATAGCTTATACAAAAGCAAAAATATTATTAGCAGAAACCTGAAACTCCTTGGTTTGTTGCCAACCTGTGTGATGTTGTTGGTGTTTTTTGTCATTTTATTGACTTTTTAAGGAAACTGAAGGAAACTGCTATTGCTTCATTTTCCAACCCATTGTATGAAGACCTTTGTTTATCTGGGAAAGTAAAAGTAAGTAGCAATAGATGCTTGTATACATTCAGAAAAATATGAGGCTGCAGTCCTCAAATAAGTTTTCCATTAAAACTAACAGTGTAATCCCTCACTGAATGCTATTTAATAAAAGAAGTTAGAACTGAAAATTGCTGAATCACTCAGATCAGTTCCAGTGAATTTTCAAAACATAGGAAGATTTAAAATTAAATCAATTTTGAGAACATCTTGATGTTTATTAATAATCCTGACTGCGGGCTGCTTAATATGAGAAAAAAATAGTTTTGGATTAAATATTTACCCAGACAGATAGAAGAAAAAGCTCCTTTGACTTGTCTCCTTTTATTTCTGAGGAAAAAGAGAATAAAAAACCAAACCAAAACAACAAGAACAAAAGAAACAAAACCAAACAAAACTAAAACCAACAAAACAAACAAACAAAAAAAACAGCACGACCAAAAAATGGTCACCAAACAAACAAAAAAACCCCAATAAAACAAACAAAAAGCAACAACAAAACAAACACTTAACAAATAAAAAAATACCACCATCAACAAAATCACAAAATACGTTATTCTGCAACCAAGTTGCCTTTGCAGACTTAATTTTATAAAATAGTTTATTACATTTCCCAATAACATATATGCATTACTATTCCCATCACTGTAAAATTCAGCTTGACAGTAAACAAACACTTGGTTACACATTTCCCTTGTTACCATATATTTATCACAATTAAGACAGCTAGAGTTACAAAGACGTTTGTGAATAAAATACATATCTAAATTTGAACATCTGCTATTTAATCACTGAAAATAACACAGACAGAGCTCTTTGGATCTAATAGGATAAAAAAATGTTTAAGACATCCTTCTTGCCCTCATTTGATACTACCCTTATTAGCATTGAAAGAACTAGGCTTGGTTTGGAACAGAAAATAAAACTTCCTAGTCCTTTCCACAGTCAGTAGTATAAGATTCCACTGCAGCTTTGAGTAGGATTAACTATGACATGCCATTTACTTTCTATAAAAGTTTCCTTACACCTGATTTTAGAGACATTAGATCAAATTAATTCACTTACAGTTTGGGGTTTGTGAGAGCTCCAAGTTGGAAACATTCCCATCACAATCATGTCCAATTTATCAGGACATTTCTATTTTGGTTGAAATAGATTCCTGACCAGCTTCATTTAATAGCAAGTTGAGAAACAGAAGCACAGTGTCAGGAAAGACATTTTCATAGAAGAAAGCCCCAGGCACTGTGAAGTCCAGTGCTGTACCACATTTTCTTCTATTTTCTTTAAGACTAGGAAAATATGTGCTTTCACTAATTCTTTCTTTAAAAGGGAAACAAGAGATACACATTTTCTCAGTCTGATGAGCCTCACATCTTAATGGTGTATCACAAGATACAATCAAATGAAATGGGAAAACATGAGCAACAGACCTTATCTCCAGCTGAATACAAGTTACACACTTGTGTCTGTAAGTTCCATAAGGAAAGAACAATTCTCCACAGACCTTTCTGAACACTGAAACCATGCAGGCCTAGTGTTGCCACACACTTGCCTATCACATTGCCTCATAGTTTCAGATCCATAGAGCATGTTACTGAGACAGCAATATGGAAGGATATTTTTGAAATATTACTTACAGCTCACTAAAAATATTCTGAAGCAGTTTTTTTTCTTTTTATAGTCTACTGAGTATGCCACCTCACCTGCTGTCCAAATCAGTGTTTCTCCATGGCATGAGGTATGTAAAAACATTTCTCTTTTAAAGTAGGATATATGTTGGACCATATATCCTACTTTAGAAACAAAATTCATTTGCAGAGGAAAGGGGAAAAAGTCACTTATAATAAATGGTATATTGCTGCTCTCAATGTGAGCACCTCTGGAAATCTGAGAAAGATTACCAGGAGTGGATTGGCTGACGAGGACCTTATAACAGCAATTTCATTACTGTTGCTTAGCACAGCTACTTGTTAGACCATAAAGTAGTTCAACACTTTCCAGCCAGGCAGATGCTGAAGAAAATACTTAAGAACTACAGAGGTCCTTACCTAAAGAGTTCATATTACCTCTTTCTTCACACATTCCTCCTTCAAGAAAATTAGAACCAGTCACTTAGTTTATAATACCATGTACCAAAATTAGTGAACCATTGCAGTGTACATATTCTCCTAAAATAAGCAAGAGTACTGAAGACAAGTAAAACAACATAGGAATGGATGCAGAAGAAGGTTAAATGACCTACCAGGTGTATGTGCCCAATAATGATTTTGGTGGAGCTATGCTTCAGTTTTTATCAGCTAAAAATCTGGTCTAGAAAGGTCAGAGATTTTATAGTTTTCTTTGAACTTAACATAATATGTTACTTCTGTAATGAATCTTCAGCCATTCATATGTCCATTCAAACAAATTAACTGAATTATGTTCTAAATTTCATTTTGTGTTTTTCCTTTTAGTACCCATTCAGTGAAAATGTGAATGTTACTTCTTTTCCAAATCCTCTCTATGGTGAAACATCGGAAGACATGGAGAAATTATGCAATTCCTTGAAAAAAGGCATAAAACCTGATCAATATTGCCTGTAACTTTTTGCTTGAAGATTTGTTCTAATATCTGGAAGTATGTAATGATACTGTAGTGTTTGCAATATGAATTAATAATTTCACGTAATAATTCATTTATTAAAATACTTATATCCAGAAAGTAACTTTATAATAAAAATTAAATCTATTTGTAAGTAAAATATATATATATAGTCTCTGTCATTTATGTTGATGCAGAAGGAGATTGGTAACTATATGAAATTTTTTACATTTATATACATTTATTATACTGAGGCCAATAAGGAGCAAGTGGAAGTCAGTGGGTAAGAATTAAGGGGCAGGCTGGCATGGGTGATACAGATGTGGGGGTCTGTTACAGACCTACTGATCAGGATAAGAGTGTTGACGAGGCTTTCGCCTTAGTCCTCATGGGGGATTTTAACTACCCAGGTATTTGCTGAAAGGCCTACACAGCCAGCCATTCACAGTCTAGGAGATTCCTCCAATGCATTGATGATAACTTCTTGATACAAATGGTGGACAAACCAACTAGGAGAGGAGCACTGCTGGATCTTGTACTCACCAACAAGGAGGGTCTAGTTGAAGCAGTGACAGTCAATGGCAACCTTAGCTGCAGTGATCGTGCAGAGCCACAAAGATGATTAAGGGAGTGGAACATCTCCCTTATGAGGAAAGGCTGAGGGAGCTGGGTCTCTTTAGCTTGGAGAAGAGGAGACTGAGGGGTGACCTCATCAATGTTTACAAATATGTTAGGGGCAAGTGTCAGGAGGACAGAGCCAGGCTTTTTTCAGTGATGTCCAGCGACAGGAAAAGGGGCAATAGGTAAAAACTGGAACATAGGAGGTTCCACCTAAACATCAGAAAATGTGAGAGTGACAGAGCAGTGGAACAGGCTGCCCAGGGAGACTGTGGAGTCTTCTCTGCTAGAGACATTCAAAACCCACCTGGATGCATTCCTCTGTGACATGCTCTAGGTGACCCTGCTCTGGCAGGGGTGTTGGACTAGATGACTTTCGAGGTCCCTTCCAGCACCTAAGATTCTGTGAGTCTGTGTGAGTTCAAACTCCAATGTGTTAATAAAATGTTTATTCAAATCCAGATTCTTGTGGTTTGGGAATCATAATTTTGTGTCTATTATTTGAGAAATGAGCACTTAAATATTTCTGTAATTTTGCATTAGAAAGAGATTTTACACGGCGGTTTTAGTGTTTCAAGGAGTAGAGGAAAAATAAAAGTCTTTGTATAATTAGAAGCATATTGAGCTAAATCAAAGACGGTCATGAATCATTAATTTGCATTTCAGCTCAGCATCTGATTCATCAGTGTGACATACTGGTATGCACATTTATTTTTAATAAATATGTTTATTATTAAGCTTAATAGCCATATCTGACCAGTTTCCCTTCTGGTCAGCTCTACTGTGCTTACCACAACACTAACGATATATTTAGCTTAGTGGTTGACTGAGAGTGGAAACAAGCATGTTCAGGAAACCGTATTTCTGCTGAATAGGTTGACCTCCCACAGAGCTACAACTCTATATCTTTGCATGCCTACATGAGAAAGATATTGGAGGGTGGGGGAGGAATTCTTGGTTGTCTCCTGATTTTGAGTGTCATCCTCTGTGATACCAGACATAGCTTGTTTACACTTCAAATAACCTGGCAATATGCCCACTTGAATTATATGGTGGTTACTTTTAGCTTGAAGGCTTAAGTGTTCCTGCTGTGCTTGTGTTTTCCTCCTTTACTGTATTTCTACAGCCTACTAAATTTTTAAGTCATTGGCAAGTTTCAAAGATAATAAAGTGCTTCAAATTTCATTAAGACAGACATCTGGACAGTAGATAGTATCTGTGCAAATTCTTTAATTCAGGGAATACTGAAACACTTGATATTCATTATGCTTTGGATACTCCAGTGAGAAAAGTCCATTGAAGCCTGGCTTCATCCTGTCATGCACAGGACTGCTTGTTTGGGGTTTAATATTGGTTCAGTTTTCTTTTTCTTAACAGCCTAACAGTAGTCCATAGCTCTCTACCTGGGGCCACAGAAATATTTTTTGACATGGGTTTTCTTATCTGTCTGGCTTGTTGTTTCATGGGTGTCGGAAGTAATGAGACATGGTTCTGGTAGGGGTTTGTCCATCATTCTCTCCTTACCTTTCTGGCAACATGCTCATAAGTGCTGCTGCTGCATTGTAAAACCTTCTGTTTCTCTTTCCTCTCTCTTCTGTAATCCCCTGTATTATCCTCAGCTCTTTCCAAAACTACACAGCCCACCCAAAAACTTTATCTCTTGAGCTTGTTTACCTGACATGTCCTAGCTACAAACTGAAAAAGAAGCATGAATTGCTTTCTGTCCCAGAGCTGCACACATGCTGATCAGCTGCTGTTTGTTTGGCTGGTTGGCAGCACAGGAAACAAACTCACACTGCAACATCTCCACTGTGCCCTGAATTTGTACTGGTGTCTCCTTACCCACTGCCACTTTAATGAAGCTTCTCAGAGATCATTTTTTCTACACACACCTGCCTTAATGCAGAGTCTATCTGGAAGCTATGAAATGTTATTCCTGGAGGTTTAAAAAAAAACAGACTTAAGACAGGATGATCACACATGCTGCTTTCTTTCTGAAACAAGATTAGTAAAACATAAATTTAGAATTCGCTTACTGTGCTTGTACTTGTTGAGACAGAGAGAGTACATTTGAGCCAATAAATTGGCAAGAGCTTCCAGCTCCTGAACTCTAGTATTTTGATAAATCTGTGTGAGATGACTGATCTCCATACTATAAATAGGCATTGAACTTTGCTACAAGGTCAACCCCATGTAGTTAAATGCTTATTTATTATGCAAAAGACTAGAACTCCTTTCAGAATTCCATTAAACACTAAAATGCTAGTCATGCTATAGTCCTTAAACCTTCAATCATTGTGTCACACAATATTTATCTGTAAAAATTTACAAAGAAAAGGATAAAATTGTAATAGTAGAATTTTATCAGTCTCCCTTGTCTAACAAAATAAATTAATTTTACTATTAAAGGTACGTTTATTTTAAGAGAAGCATATGATTATAAGGAATTACTGTAAAAGAACTCAAAGAATCATAGAATTGTTTGGGTTGGAAAAGACCTTAAAATAACCAAGTTCCAATCTCCCAGCATGGGCGAGGAAACCTCCCACTAGACCAGGTTGCTCAAAGCCCCATCCAGCCTGGCCTTGAATGCTTTCAGGGAGGAAGTATTCACAACTTCCCTGGGCAACTTTTTCCAGTGTCTCACCACCCCTCAGAAAAAAATAATTTCTTTCTAATATCTAATCTAAATCTATCCTCTTTCAGTTTGAAACTATTCCCCCCAGATATCAACATTCTCATCAGTAGCTATTTCCTAAGAGAACTGTGACTCTTCCAGATGTATGCTGAAAAGCCAAGGTATCCTTTCTGAAGCCAAGGGTATCCTGAGCTCTTCCTTACAGTTTAGTTCTTATTTGTTCAGCTGTGGTTGGGGCCTCATTTTCAAGACCTGTTTCTATATCTGATACAGCAAGAAGTAGGTTCTTGTATTAGTTAGGGCTTTCACCTGATATGATACATCTTAATTGGACTTGCTGCCATGTATGAACAACAGAAGCACTTATTAAAATGCCAACTCTTAGTAGTCATCAAGTTAGCAAGGATTCAATTAATCTTGTCCTCAGGTAGATGCCTATCCTAGAGTGCAGTAACTGGAGTTCTAGCAGCTCCTCACTTTTTCTATTGACTGTAAAGGCAGTCTAGAAATTATATCTGCCATGGAGATGTCCAGATTTAATAATATTAATCTCATTGATATCGTCTTTATTAATTCAAAATTTCATTAATGTATGTATGTGATATGGAGATTCTCACTGGATAATCCTCCTTACAAGTATACAGACAAATGCTCCCATATAGACACATTTTTCAGACCTCTATCTGTACAAATCAGACAAAAAAGAGCTTAACATGTACATATAACATGCAGCAACACATGTGATAACCTGACCTCTTCTGTCCTTCATTTTTAGTTTGTGTGTGGGAACAGAGTGAAAAATAGATGGGGAGAATTCATGTTTATAAATACTTAGGTCAAAATATCTATTAAGGACTGTATTGGTCTGGGTAGGTTACAGCATGTGAGAAGTCAAGCATCTGACATGCAACAGGATTCTAAATGATTCTATGATTCTATGAAAACATAACGTTAATCACACCAGGAATTTACAGTGTATTTACTGTTCTATTATAAAACCACATTTTTTAGCCCTCATCGTAATATGGTCAAAGAGCAAAATAGTGTTCATCCTAGAGGAAGATCCAAGAAGAGAAAGCTTGGCCTGAGTGGTCAAGTGGTGAGAATGGGGTGTAGCAGTTAAACTAGAGTGGTTTGTGATGTGACAATGAGTTTCTTGCAGTTCTCTGGCCTTCTATGGATCACAAGCTAATATATGTCTTCCAGCATTGGTTCCAACTACTAAAAAGAATTTTGCATTCTTATAATTCAGTAGATTTTTAAATGTGTCTCTCCCCTTTAGACCATTTCTTCATAAAAAGAGTTAATTTTTCCTTTTATTTATGAATGTTGTAAAATTAGTATGCCTTGGAGAGAAGTTGGCCAAGTTCAGAGAAACGTTTAGGCAACAAGACGAAGAAGCCATAAAAATTTACCAGCTACAGGAGTGGGTGGGTATTCTACTATTCCAATGAAAACGTTTCTCTCTGAGGCAAGTAAGCAAGGCATACTCAACTGGGTGAAATGGGTTTAACAAGGAGAAATTAGTACAAATTATTCATGGAAATTCTTCAGTCTTCTCTGTAATTATGTGATCATTCCCCCAACAAAGACTTTGATTGATCATAACAGGAGAAAAAAGTCAGTTTGCACTCAGCGCAATGATTAGCATACAGCTGCAGAGGAAAACAATAACAAAAAAGAACTTACAATCTAGTGATTTAATATTTTCTGCATATTTTTAAAGTTTGGGGTGCTAAGTATAAATTATTTAAAGGTAATTATAAGTTTTGGTTTGTTTTTTGTGTTTTTGTTTTTTTCTCAAAAGAAAGCTGCTTTCATTTTGTTCTTCATTTTAGTTTTAATTTTGAGTCCTACTTTTTCTATTTTCCAACCACTTCATGCGGGTCATAAAACAGGACTATTTTGTGACAAGTATTTTACAATACATATGGTATTCAAATTTGTAAAGCTTTAGTCAACATTAATGTGTTTTTGATATCTAAGCCTTACAATACAATTCACTGAGCACTAATATACAGTTAGGTTAGAAACATGCTATGTCAAGAGCATTAACATCAGTAAGCTATTTATATTCACATGGACATGTTAGCCAGAAGTGGATATTAATAAGCACCACATTACAGTTGGACTCCATTGCAACTGTGTATTACA